AGAGAGAGAGAGAGAGAGAGAGAGAGAGAGAGAGAGAGAGAGAGAGAGAGAGAGAGAGAGAGAGAGAGAGAGAGAGAGAGAGAAAGAGAGTGAGTGAAAGAGAGGACGCCGCTGAAGGCGACGAGTGCACTGCCGCCGCGGCCGATGACGACGACGACGTCGACGGCGGTGACGATGAGTGTTCCAGCGCGCGCTGAAGATTCTTTAGCGCGCGGCGAAACCTTTAAGCGCTGTGCTCAAATCTTTAAGCGTGCGCTCAAAGATTTGAACGTTGCGCGCTGAAAGGGAGGGCCGCGCCGCTTGTGGACGGGCGAAGGGTTGGTAGAGGCGCGCTGCCAGCGGTGAGGGGTTGGCAGCGGCAGAAACCACAGGGGGTTCGGCAGGAGCGCAAGGACGGGCTGGCGGCGGCGGTTCGGGAGGTTCGGCGGCGGCGTGGTGGCGGAGGCGGGCTGGCAGCGGCGGTTCGCAGAGGGCCTTCGTAAGGGGTTGGGCTGCGGTGGTGCAGCGGCGGGCGACGAGGGCTTTCAACTGCACTTTTGCATCTTCGGGTGCCGTTTCTACGATTGTTGAGGGCCCCTGAGGGTTAGGAACATGGTGAAGGTTGGCTTGGTAAAGGCCGTTTCTAACGCCGTTTCTAACGGGTCGACGGGCGCGGCGAAAATGCCGAAGCAGCAAGTCAACGCCTTCATCCAGGCCAGCGACGACACGCAGGCGAGCATGAAGAATTCGAACTTCGTTTGCAAATACGTGCTCGTTGGCCAGGAGCTTTCTGAGAAGCTCCGTGGTCAGAGGATGCTTCAGTGCGTGTTCTGCGGGAACGAGTGGCAGGGGAACAGGCATGGGGTTGCGCGACATTTTCGTAGCGTGAAGGGATGTTTACAGGTGACCAATGAAGCTCTTATGGAGAAGCATAACATGAGCGGTTACGCATTTGAGGGAAAGTGGTTGGAGCGGATCCGCAAGTAAGAGCAGCTTCACGGTCCTTGGGTGGACGAGAGGAGGACTAGCGAGGATCAGGCTCAGGAGCGGGCGGCGTCCAACGCCCCGGTTGGGGCACGACAACAGGGCGATGACGTCGTCGATTTGGATGGCGAGGGAGAGGATTGCGGGGTCGCGGGGGTTGAGGGGGAGGTCGAGGCTGCATACTCACATCGGCCAGGCAAGTTGCCGGTCGGTGAGGGTGGTTCGAATTTAGGGAAGAGGAAGGGTGTGGTTGGTGCGATGATGTAGCAGGGGAAGGAGATGAGGCAGTCGGCGATAAAAGAGGTGTTCGGGTCTGACTGGGCTGCTCAGCACAGGAAGTTGTGGTTGCGCTTCGTGTACAGCAACCAGCTTCCCTTCAACATCTTTCGGAGCCCGACATGGAAGGCGTATACTGCACACTTCAGGGACAAACCCGCTTCAGTCCCCGTGGTTTGGCCTTTTGAGAACGAAGTCGCATCGATGGATGCAGTGCTTGAGACAGCGACAGACGTTGTTGCGGGTCTCAAAGACATACAGGAGCCGTTTGACCGCACTGGGGCGACGATCATGTCCGATGGTAGGAAGTCTCGTGATGGGAACTTCCTTGTAGCCGTTGCTCGAGGAGTGATGATGTATCCCACCCTCAACAGACAGGGTGAGATTGATGATGCGCTCGCGGTGTTGGGGAGGTGGATATCGGTTTTCCACGATTTCGGTCCCGACAGGGTTAACGCCATTTGCACAGACTCTGTGTCTGCCTACGTAAAGGCAGGCAACGCTTTGGCCCATCCTCACATGCGGCCTGCGTACAAACGGATTACGTGGCTTCCCTGTGCGGGGCATGTGTGCAACAAATTGTCGTCGGACATCGGGACAGTGGGTCCGTGGTGCGTAGACATTATTGTGCGGGCGAGAGCGGTAGTGCATTTCATAAAAATGCACGGCCGAGCTGATTTCTTGTTTAGGAGAGAGAGTTGCCATCTCGGGTTGTTGTACTCTTGTGAGACTCGCTTCGCTTCTGTGTACGGGATGCTAGAGTGGTTGGATGCTGTGCGGCGTCCTTTGGAGTGGATGGTGGATGGGACAGACAGGTGCAGGGAGCCTTGGGCGACTGCGTCGATCAGGCAGCATGCGCGGTAGGTGTTGTGGCAGATCCGGCATGGCAGCTGGTGGGACTCCATGGACATCTTGCATGCCATCATGGAGCCGTCTTAGGATCTGTTGCGCGAGATGGATCCTGGAAGGTTATGCATGTCTCGAGTGATCGAGTGGACGGGACAGTTGGCGAGGGATGTGGAGGCGGCTGTTAAACCGCTTGAGAATGAATTGGCGGATCAGATTTTCAGGTGCGTGCAGGAGCGTGTCTCTCATATGTGTGAGCCTGCGCATGTTGTGGTGTACCTCCTTTGCCCGATGAGGAGGTCGATGCAGTATTACAGCGACGTGGTGAAGGACGAGGACAAACGACTTGTGAGGAAGGCAGAGTCGTACATTCTGTCGCAGACCGGGTTTGACGAGCGGCGGAAGGAGTACCGAGACGCTGTGTTGCAGCTGCGGGACTTTCATATGCGCACATCGACTTGCACATGGGGAGGGGAGTGGGCACACGCCGCAGCGGAGATGTGTGTCGGGGACCACGAGACTGCTGAGAGTGGTCTTCGGTGGTCACAGTATGGCGGTTGTGCTCCTGAGCGTCATCGTATCGCTGTTCGTGTGTTGTACATGTGGACGTGCTCCTCTCCCGCAGAGCGGAACTGGGCCATCCACGAGAGTATTCACACGAAGAAGCATAACAGGTTACTGTTCTCGAAGGTCGCGAAGTTGGTCGAGATCATGGCCAACATGCGACTTTTGGCTCTTCAGAGCGCTGGTGGAGGTTTGGTTCTTCCCTGGACTCATGACGAGTCCATGTTCGATGTCGAGGGAGGCTTGGAGGCAGACGCTATATGTGAGGGGGTGGACCACAGCATACCAGAGGAGGACCGTGATGTGCAGGCGCAGTTGTGGCGGCGGGATGCTTGCGGGTCACGACCACTGCCTCCCGTTGAAGATGTGTTCGGGGTTCGGGCCGCCACTTTGAGGCCGTACCCGAGAGACGACTCGAGTGGAGATGAGCTTGAGGAGGCAGATGACGGTTTCCGCCTCCACGGCGCTGCTGCTGCCCAGCGTGCAGAGGACGACGATGGCACTTGGAGTGACCCTGAGGAGGTTCATCGGCGTAGCAGTGGTAGAGATTTATTCAAGGACACAGCCAGGGGCAGGTTTGGAGTTGAGGGATGTTGGGACGGATCTGGGAGCCCTGTTGTCGAGCTGCCCGTACATGGGGCAGAGGGAGACACAGCGGGCATGCGAGGAGCCCATCAGAGACGGGGTCCGACAGGCAGGGGCTCATTAGACAATGGCGAGGTTTCAGAGGGACGTGGAGGAAGTGTCGTACCCCCGTTCACCATTCACGGGGTCTTTGAACGGAGCCGGTCATAGAGTGCACAGATTTCTAAACACAGGAGTTCATGGAGTTCACGGAGAGTGGTTTTTTTTTTTTTTTTTTTTGGCTGGGGGGGTATGTTTTTTKTTTTWTAGGAGGGTGGGGGACATCGAAGGGTAACTCCCTATAATTKTTTCAATTTTTTTTTTTCACTAATAATATGTTTTTAATTAAAAACGAAAAAAAAAAATTCAACCAGCCAAAATTAGCATTTTCGTTTGCTATTTTGTAGGTCATTTCAGTTTTTTTTTAATTTTTCAAAGTCACCACGCTTTGGGGCTTGAGGCGAATGTAAATGGGGGAGCCCAAAAAAAAAAAAAAAAAAAAGAACACCACTCTTTAGTGGTCGTCCCATTCACCGTGAACGGCCGTTCACGAAAAAAACACCAAATGGACGGCCGGTCATGTTCAAATGACTAGTGCCGGTCACGTTCACGGGATCGGCACTGTGTGGAGGAGGTATGAGGCTTCTGCGGCTTCGGAAGGGTTCGAAGGTCGCAAAGAGATAACTCATACTAGGTTCTGAGTCACCGCCATCATGTAGGGGTGTGTCCGGCACGGGGACAGGGGAAGCGCAAATCAGAGACGCAGGACATGAGCGTCCGGCGGACGTCAACAGAGAGATGAGCATCGCAGATGTGGCTGGCGATGTTGTTTCTGGGTTGGGTGGGGCATGGTCGCTAGGGGACATTGGGACGCTTGGCGCTCTGCCTGGTAGTGGTTACGCGGAGCAGTTCGATGATGCCCATCATGAGGGGGCACCACACGATGATGCTGGCGGTGGGGACCATGCTATGGAATCGGCGTCCATGCGCGATTTCATGGCTGAGCTAGAGGCCACTCTGCCATCCATGACGGAGGGTGAGTCTGTTGTTGCGCGACAGGTCGAAGACGAGGATGTTGGGCCTAGCCACAGTCAGTTCACATGAGAGAGCCTGCACCCGACACCGAGGAGGAGCGCATGGCGAGAGAGGCGAGGGAGGATGAGGAGGAGGCCGCAAGGGCCAAGGCCCTAGCCGATTTTAGTGTTCTACTACCGTCTTCACCGGAATAGAACGCCCGGTCATTATAGCCGTATTTGGATAATTTGGTGCAATTTTCAGTCCAGATACAGCAATAATTACCGGGCGTTCTGTTCGGGTGAAGACGGTAGTACTCTTCTCCTGGATAGCTTTTCTCTCGCACCTCATTGCCAAGGCTGGAGTTGATGGAGGAGGGGGGGGAGGGGGGGAGGCGGTGGGCCTCCCTTGGCCTGCAGGCTACACTGTTGCTGATGTTGTTGTCAAGCTAAATTGTTGTGTTGTGTACTAACTTAGTAACTTTGGGTTTCATTCGCTGGATCTGGACTGAAAGTTACCCGAAGTACAGATAGAATGTAGTACGTTCTATCCCTTGATTTTTATTTTTTTTCTCCAAATGTTCTTTAGGGGAGGGGAATCGTAAAGGTGGTGGCTATGGCATCTTACCAGTGTTGTTGTGAATCTTGTGATCCAAAATTCTCGATTTGTGCTTACTTCAAATTTCCGAGAGTTGAAATTTGCTCATTAGCATTCACACTTTCATGCGCTCTCTCTTACTGTCGAAGGACCAGTAGGGAGATAGGTGGCTCTTCTGCGAAAGGGAAAGCTCTTTCATGACGTTTCTTTTTCCTTCTCAATCTTCCCTTCAGAATAATTAAAATTAATATGGAAGTTGACATCCACTTCCATTCATACTTCTCGCTCCCTTTAAACTTAGTTCTCTCTCTCTCTCTCTCTCTCTCTCTCTCTCTCTCTCTCTCTCTCTCTCTCTCTGAGTGTGTGTGTGTGGGCCGTGAATCCACTACGTGAATGTTGCATTTCTGACTGTAGTTGTCGCAGACGGGTCTGCGGTCAGAAACAAAAGAGTCCAGCTGAGTGGGAGTCAGGCAACTGTGCTTTGCCGAGACAGGCTGACTGTTTTTTTCTTTCTGCCGCGGTTTTCCCTCTCTCTTTGTCTTGTTTTAATTACTCTTAGTTCTGTGTGTCTTGTCGCTCTTCGAATTTCCCTTTGGCTTTCATCATTTCCCTTTGGACATACTTACGCTTCCTTTCATTCGTTTTCTTTTTCCCGCTTCTGGCCCGAGGTTCAATCGATCAATCGCGACATACACTAGCGCTTTCCTTACTCTATATGACGTCATAATGGCTTAACCGGGATATCTCTTAGCGTAATGAGGACCAGAAACAAGCAGGAAAGTCTCAGTGTGAGTTTTGCCCTGGATACATCTCCCATGTGGCGCAAACGTTCGACAACGCCAGCGCAGCGTTGGGCAGGATCCTCTTTTTTTTTTTTTTTCCTTTTTTTTCTGAATCCGTCATGGGAGGCAGGGCCATTATAGCTTTATCTGTTTCGGGGCACCTTTCCGTCCATATAGAGATATCCTTTTTTTTTTTTTTTTTTTTTTTTTGGACGGGCGACGGCCTTGAGATATCATCATTGAGCTGACCAGGCCCAGGTAATTCAGAATTACATTGTTCCGTTCATCTTATTGCAGCGGGCTGAGCGGGGCTCAAGCTCAGTTCATGGGTTGGTTTACCGACTGCCCTGTGCTCAATGCTCTTTGGAATTTAGAGCTACATTCATCATCACCATGGCTAGGTTTTTTTTTTTTTTTTTTTTTTTTTTTTCATGTCATCCTTGCGCAGGAGCCATGCTAATCTTCTCTGTATCGTTCCCATTTTAACAGATGTCCCGCAGGACTCACCATTGCAATCAGACCCGACTTCTTCTTCACACTTCATCAAGCTTGCAAACAGCGATACAGCAAACTGGCCCACACAGTACTCAAAGATATCGTAACCAGATATGAGTTCTCTTCCAACTGTCTATGGCGACTGTGCGCCCATACAACTCACTGTTCACACTCGAGATCACCCTGTATGTCCCACACGCACACTCAGTGTTCATACCCAACACACACACACAGTACACACTCTCTGCACTCTACACTGAGCTATGGCAGCTATGGCTGCCGCTACCTATCTCTATGACTACAGTGCTTCACTCTTGCCCCCTTCGTCTTCGGGCCCAGCAGACCTCCTTGCACTAGACGCTGTGGCAGCGCTACCGCATGGCTTCCGCCTCAATGAATCCATGGCTGGACGCAGCCTCTTGATTTATACTTCTGCGCTGCGTTGGTCTGCCCTGTATCCCTTGGCCCACGATGTGCACACAGTCCCAGACGGTACTTGCTGAACAGGACCGGACTGACTAACTGGGACTGCTGACTGGGCTAGGTGGACTACCACCACTTGACCACTTGCCTCTGCTAAACGCAGGCCAACTCCGAAAGGCCACTTCTAGAAGTCTCGAACTTGGCCTTTCGGTACTGTAGCAGCTACGACTTTGCCCTTTCAGGTAAGTAGCAGCTACGACCTTGACTCTTCAGGCATCCTACAGCTACGACTTTGGAACTGTCTAGACTCCTACCCTACAGGTCTACAGTTCGATTCCCTTCTAAGCTGTGACCTACGAAACCCTGCCTACCACTGGSGATCCTACAGGTCRYGGGTTCAAGTCTACSGGTTGACATCAATACTGTACACAGGTAAGCCAGGGAACTAGGGATCGAGCCCTGGGATCTGCATTCGCTACTGCGAACTGGTGATTACCGTTTCACCATGGTCAGTGCATGCTGTTTCCACTGTAGTTGTAAATACATTGGAGATGCTGCTATGTTTTCTGGTTATATGGATGAAGCGCAGAATGGCTGAACTAGCATGTGTAGCATTGTCGGGTTTTTGTTTTGCTGGTTTGTATGGCTTCCTGGTCCCTCCGGCTGAGGCTGAGGGTTGATTTATTTGGATGGGACTCTTGAATAGAGGAGTATGGGGGTCTTGCTCAAGGATTTTTTTTTGCGGGGTGGAAGAGGGGGGGGGGTTAATATTTAAAAAAACACGCTATATTCATGCCTCAAAGCTTTCATCGTCTTTGAAGATTTGAGAGAAGAATATTGTGCGGTGTTTCCTGTCCTTGTGGATTTCTTTCGTTGGGTGGTTTATTTTTGATTGTCTTGTAACTCTTGTTTTGGCCATTTCCGTCCTTGGATTACACCCGAACAATATAGACTGCGAAAAAAAACAAAGTAGAAATCCGGGGTCGAACTGTGAGGTCCCCGGCCTCAACCGAATTTAATTGACAGCTATCCATATATATATATATACATATATAGGGTTGCCAGGCCGAACATACGGAGGCCCCTAAGCTGACCGAACCTGAACGAGTTCCGACCCGCAAAACAATATTTTGGCACCTAAATATTATTTTGCTTTTCTGAAATGTTTTCTGTGGGTTCTTTGTGATGTAAGGTATCTCCCTGTTAGTTTGGAAGCCATTTTGTTCAGCCAAAAAACAATGAAAAATCGGCAAAGATGGTAGTGTCAAAACTTGCTTGCCCACTTACTAATTTGTTTCTTCTCTTTTCACTTTTTGTTTTTCCTTTATTTCGGGGCATGAAAAAAAATACTATTTTTGCAAACTTTATTTGTATATTCTCTATTATGTAAGATACACATATATTGTGACGATATATAAAATTTCATGACTTTTGTCATAGCCAAAAAAAAAAAGAAAAATCACCAAAGATGGCGGTGTCCAAAACGTGCTCACCCACTCAACAATTTMATTCTCGTTTTATTTTTTCTAATTTTCATTGTTATTATTTAATTTTAGTATTTGATTTTTATTTCAAATTTGGTAAAGAATTTGGATGTAACGTTGGGGCAAATGTTGTTTAGTTTATTCTTCTGTATAACATATAGTTTTTTCAGAGTTTTTGGAATCGTTTTTTTTTTTTGTTTTTTTGTTTTTTTGAGAAAACTACAGCGCAGTCAGGGTTACAGTTTGTAATTGCATTTGGAACTGCGTTTTGGCAGTTTAGTCAGGGCCCGAGTTTCAATTGCATTTGAAACTGCATTTTAGCAGTTTGAAACTCGGCCTGGCTTTTTCTAGCAGTTCAGTCAGGCACATGGCCGTTTCTTTCTTTCTTCTTCTTCTTTTTTTT